ACCACATTTTATGGCATAACACGTATAAATACTATATAAACTGTGGTTTGTGAACAAAACCATGGTTAATTAAAGCATATTGTAAATGAACCTAGTCTAATACTCTAACTAAGCAGTGCAAATGAATATCCTGGAAGCTTTCCTTAAAAAGAGGGATAGTGCTACCCTTTTCTTAGAAAAGCAGTAAAGGGTCTGATGGAACTATTATAGCAATAGTTTAAAAATAAATGAAAACTTATGCAAATTGTTTATTATAAAGGTATTCATAGCATTGGGTAGAACTTGCACTGAGTTCCTGTTTCATTTACTGTAGCTGTGATTTGTAAAAAAAAAAAAGGTCATGTGACAGTGTAGTTATTGAAGGACCATCTGGAAGCACTAAAGTGATGAAACGTCTCCTTAGAGCAATGGGGCAACACAGGATTGTTGCACTCAAGGCTTATCCTAATATTCCTTTAACTTTGACACAAACATATCCTGTAACCATTTAAAATTATTTTTCTTTGTAACTTGTCCACAGCACAAGTTAAACTTGTGCTTAATTGTTCCAGTTTTGAGTACTATTCTCCTTTTTTCTCCTGATGTATTTTCAGCTGTGTGATATACTTCACCAACAACTTTGTTGCTGACGTAGTCAAGGATTAGGACTCCTGAGCAGGGAGCAAAATAAAAGGTGGCAAGTTTGGGAGGGTGCTATGAATCACAAGTTTAACTATTGATTACTCTCAATTTGGCTATTTCTGAATGCAAATCTGGTGTTCTTTTAGAAAGCACTAAAGGTATGTTCAAAAATAGCCTAGCTAAACTTGCTGGCACAGAAAGGGGCAGAAGAAAAATCTCCTGATGTTCCTGCTCAGTAGAGCAACAAGGTTCTAATTCTCCCAGTATCTAAAATGGAAATACTGTGTAGCCCAGAAAGTCAAGTTAAGCTCAGAAAGAGAAATGGGTCCTGCTAGCTAGATGCTGCTGATTCTTACACCAATGAGAATAGTAGCATGGAGAAGAGATAGGATTCCTGCCTCCTGAATCCCTCCTGCCTGTAACTGTCTATCAGGCTATTTCTGAATATCTTGAGTTTTTTTGAATGAAGACTGGACCCATGTCCAAAAGCATGCCTCTAGGTATGATAGGCAGCATATAAATTTAAATAAATCAATAAAATAGCTTGGCTGAAGGTCACAGGCATAGAAAAAGGCAGAGGGTGAAATGGTCGGGAATTTTTCCAACGTTCCTGTTTGGTACATCAGTACATTATGTAGAAATTTAACATATTCCGATATCTAAAATGGAAATACCTTTTTGCCTTAGTTACTTTTTAAATTAAGGAAAGGAGTGTATCAAACAGGTCTGTGGAGAAAGATTGGAGAGAAATTATTTCTGAAGAAGTAAAGTATTCTGACTGATAGTTTTATCTGTTACATTTCAGTGGTCCTTTTAAAAAATCTGTCTTAATATTTTGCAGTACATATATAATGTTGGTAATTGTTTCAAAAATAGAATTTAAAAACTTTTTTGGTCAAATTGATTTACAATGGACCAGCCTTTTTTTAATATTTGGGACTGCAATTACCTAAATTTCCAGGTTTTGCTCATGCTGGCTGCTGATTTGGGAATTGATGTTCAAGCACATTCTGTGGAGTCAGCTTTGAGACAGACACGAAACCTTCTTGGCACATGGAGACACTTTCCCCCCTCTTCATCACACTACTACCACCATGCCTATGTTTGTCAGCCAAACTATTTGGTGGCAAGAATTTCGTATTTTTTCAAAAGAGCTCTAAACTTGGGTTCAGAAATCACCATTATTTGCCTGATAGTTCAGCAAACTTGAATAGACTTCAATAGGACTTGACATGTGCCTTAATCTGCCATTCAAAGCACCCACCTATACTTGCCCAGCTCTGCTCCTTATCTATCCACATTAAGGAGACCAGTTGGTGGTAGTTTTCATGCTGCCAGGTGGCATTTGATAGGAGGGGACAAAGCCAGGGAATCCATCACTTTCTATAAGATTTCTTGGATTAAAATTGTGAAGATAGTACCAAGGTCAATTATTAAGGGACAATAGTATTCAGCCATCAAGCAGCAAATATTGAGACCCAAAAACATGTGAATTGCATTTTAATATAGCCTTCTAGCTTTCTTTAGGACAAAGATATACATTAGGAAAAAGAAATGCTACAGAGATAGATGTAATGTTGCATAGCAGAGGAATATTAAAGAAAAGATTGCAGAAAAGATGAAGGGATTCTTTGCATGTCCTTGAAGGCTGAGCAAATAGTGGGAAGGAAGATGGATTTCATAATTTGTTGCTATTAACAAACTATTGTAGGGAAAGAGTTTTTTCTAGGATTCTTTCTCATTTTTTAATACTAGCTTTGCTACAGTATTAAGGAGAAAGAAGGCGGCTTAAGAGCAGAGCTCAGCAGCCTGTCTCTTAGGATTGGAGAAATTTTTCTGGAATATTGTTCTCCTCACCCCATGCCAAATTCAGTCAATTTTTAAAACAGCTTTCTTTTGCCTGCTTTTACCACTACCGGTATACCAATTTCCATTCTGTTCTGTTTTCAGAGAATTATACTGCTGCCGCCAGATGGCTGGACAGAATCCTAAACCCTTACATAATTTCTTTCAAATATGGTATTGAGTTGGAATTAATTAAAAAAAATGTGAGAAGATCTAGAAAATTATGGGAAGATCTGTTCAATATTTGTACTGTTCAAATTGGTAGAAAATTTGATTAAAGAAATTATCACTGTAAAAATGACAGAAGAACAATCATCAATTTCTGCAAAGGCAAAAACTCCTAGAAGCATATGGTGTCTCATAGGATGAGTAAAATGTTGTGATTAGATGAAACTTTGACCTAATCCAGTACAACTCATCTGATTTCTTAGAAGCAAATTGACCCATGTAGCTGTTAAAGGATTTTAAGAGTGTAAACAAGTACATGGGCTAGGGATCATTGACTGTTTACTTAGATTTTCAAAAAGTGTTTGACAAAGTTCTTTAATTAAAAAAAAATGCTAAGCAAACCTAGCAATCAGGAAGAAAAAAGGAAGCACAACCATGAATTCTGATTACAAAGTGTAAATGAAAAATAATAGACCTGTACAAATAATTCAATAAGGTGTTGTGTTCATGAATGAAGGGCTTGTCTAGATTTGTACCTCAAAGCTGCAAAGCAGTTATAGTTGCTGAAAGGGTCAGAGCAGTTGCTTGAAATTTTAGTGCCAGAAGACCCTATGGCCAGAAGGTTAGACAATCATATAGAAGAAAAAGCTTCTTGGAATGATGATTTTGGCCAATAGGATGTTATTCTCCTTGTGGTCGTCCTAGACCAGCGGTTCTCAACCTGTGGGTTAGGATCTCATTTGGGGTCGAACGACCATTTCACAGGGGTCGCCAAACACAGTCCGCCATTTTTCCCTTTTCCTTAGCTGTGCTAAGCCAATAGGAATTGTCCAGGCTGTCTCTGCCCTGCTGAGCCCGCCAAAAGTCCCATTCTGCAAACGGTGCTGCAAGTTGTCTGCAGCGAAGGCGAGCTGTCTGGAAGTTTCCACCCCTCCCTGCTGAGCAACTACTAAAAATGTAAGTAAAAGAGGGCCAGGGGTGGGAAGCCGGTGGGCGCAGGGAGGGTTGCTGGCGCGTGTGGGGCCCGGCGGGTGCCTTACCTCCCTTGGGCTGGGCCAGCTGGTGGCCCAACCGGTGGTCGGCCTGCGCCGTCTCTGCCGCTTGCCAGCTACGCCTCGGTTGGCGCAGGGGGCGGCACCACGCATGTGCGGCGCTCCCAGGCAGGAAAAATCCTCGACTTACAACCAGTTGGGTAATCCTTGACTTACAACCGGTTGGGTAGTCGATTACTACCGGCATTAAAAAGGTTGAGAACCACTGTCCTAGACCTAGAAGGATATGGTGTCCCATAAGATGAGTAAAATGCTGTGATTAAATTTTGGCCTAATCCAATACAACTCATTTGACTTATTAGAAGAAAGTTCTGAACATTTTTCAACAGAATGGTACCCAAATACCTACATTTGTGTGCACACCTATGTGTGGGATTATCTGTCTGTGACGGTGTGTGCGTGTGTGGAGGGGGGTTGTCAAACGGGACAAATTGCATTTCTGGGAAAATGAGAAATCTGGCGATAGTGTTGGTCAATATAGTCAGACTGCTGAGCTTCACAAAACACCGATTTTACCAACTCGGAACCACTGCCTTTTCAGATTCAGGTCGGTGGCAGGAGGACATGTTCTGGGGATACATGTCCCAGGCTTGCCACCGAAGCCGCGCCTGAGTTACACAGAACTGGAAGCGATACCCTAAAAAGCTGCTGATACCCCTGGGCAAATGGCTCCGCCGAAGCTGCAATCCCGCTGCAGGCCGCCGGTTCGCTCCATGACTGCGAGTGCTCCTCGGGGCGGGCTGGGGAGCGGAGAAAGAAGAGGGAGGGAAAAGTCATGAAGCTGTTTCTCCAGCCGAACCAGCAATGCCTTCTTTGTCGACGCGGGGGCGGGCATTTGGAGAGGATCCCTAACTTGGCCTAGAGGCAGAGCGTGTGCATGTGTGTGTATGTATATATATATATATATATATATATATATATATATATATATATATATGTATGTATGTTGTGTATTGGCAGTGGGGTAAGTGGAGGTTGGGTGGCTCCGACTCTCTGACGCCAGTGAGACCAGATCAATCCAGGCGCAGCGGCGGAGCGAGCGCCGGGCTGCTAAGTGGCGGCTCTGGAAGCGAGAGCGGAAAAGCGGCAGCGGCAGCGGGTGGGACTTTGCCCGCCTGTCCAAACAGCTGCGACGCGCTGCCCGGCGCTTTGCATGATCTTTTCCTTATTCCCTCGCCTCGCCCCTCGCGGACAGCTGGTAAGAGCTCGGCTTTGGATACTCTGTCTGCCGCTCCGAGCATGCCTTCCTTGGGGAGTCATCCCCCCACCCGCTTTTGTGTTCTTTCTCCTCCCTTTAAAAAAAAAAAAAAACTCCCTCTCTCTTTTCTGCCGTTTCCTCGCTGGCTTTTTAAAACAATGCAACTGCAAGAATGGAAGAGGGTAGGCAGGGTGAGGCTGAGCGGCGACAATCTTGAATCGCGCGCGTGTAGAGAGATTAGGGCAAAGGACAGCTTTCGCTTCTCTCATGATGGCGGCTCTGCTGGTGGAGGAGCCGAAAAGAGCGAGGCGCTGCAGCGGCGGTGATTTTAACGCTCTAAAAAGTTTCCTCTCCTCTTCCTAGGGAAGGGGGGGGGGGAAAGGAGGAGGTGGAGGTACGAAGACCTTTTTGTAGCTCCAGAGGTAAAGTAGACCCGCCATCCCCCTCCCCCTTCTCTGCTTTCCACTTCCTTTCTGCTGCCCCTTCTCAAGTAGGGGAGAGGAGAGGGAAAGCAATAGAAAGCCAGAGTCTGCTTCCCAGTCAGGAGATCCTGCAGGCGTTCTGCCCCCCCCCCCTATATTCCGAGGCAAAGTGAAGAAATTGGCCTCCAATTTGGCGTCAGTACTTAAGGAAGATGAACCACCCCAGCGCAGCTACCCTCTTTTACACTTCAGCATTTTCCCTTTTTTTGTATGATGCTTTGTCGGGGGGTGCGCTTTCTGAGCCCGATTTCTTTTCTTTTTGAGTGGCAGGTTTCTCTGCCCAAACTTCCCTTTTTGACGTTGTTATCGATGACCCACTCGGGAATTTTTGTTTGTTTGCTCTAGCAGAAACCTTGCTTTATCCTCCCACCCATCCTCCGGGTTTATTTGGCGAGGTTTACGGGAATTCGTAGTGGAAAGCTATGATAAATCGAGGATAGCAGTTTCTTTCTGCCCTTTGTTAATAGTGGATGAGGCTGCGTGTGTGGGCTGACTTAGAATTTCTTAATACAGGGTATGAATATGAAAATTTAATTTGAGGAGTGCCTTTGTGCTTAAGGATAAGACAACAGATCTTTACTGTGGCTAAATATATGTGGATACCAATTTTAATCCACATTCATTTTCATTATACTGGGGAGCAACCGTTGCTTCCCTTAGGAAGGGAAAGTAGATATAAACTCATGGAAGAGTTCCATGGTGAAAATGGCCAGAGTCCAGCTGGGTTTAGGACAAATCACTCCTGCACGGTAACAAAAAAAGTTGGTGTTTGAATTGTAGTGTTCTCATCAGTAGCCATAAAAAAACCTCAGTCCCCTTTAAGGACAACTGGCAGAGGCTTTGTTCTGTCTAATTTGCTGCCCCTTCAATTGTGTTTATTTAAGAATTGAACATGAACTGCAACTGCAAGGGTTCATCTTCCAAGGACTATCCCAAAGATGCTTTTTCAAAAGGCAACTGGCACTAAAGGCACCTTTAGCACAATCATGACCTGGATGACTGAGAATCTCCATAGACTTCCAAGTGCTTAGTTGCAGCAACAATAAGACAGCATTCCTCTAGGCGGTTGCCACTTTAAACCTATGCAATTCTTATTTTTATAGGTATGCTTTGCATCCAGAAAGGGCTGAGGATGACCTGCTGAGGGTTGAAGAGGCCATTTAGCATAACTATTGTGACTTCTATTTGAAAAGCTTTTGGAAATGCCTAACTCCTCTTGATAACAGGAATACTTGGTCCTTTTTTTCTCAAGGCATAACTCAGTCTTCAGGGCATGACTGCAGAAGCTAAACTTGCCTAAAACCTTCCTAGCCACCATCCCTGATAAGATCATTTTGGTTCAAGGCCAGATCGTGTTACAAGGGCACTGATTTGTCCTTATTTTAATTCTGACCCTTTCAACCCCCCTCCACATAATCAAATACAGTTCTCATCTGCAGGGTCCTTCTCTTGTGGGGTTTTTTTGTGCATATCTTTGATCAGATGACTCCACTGTTTACAGAGGCTAAGACAATACCGATTTGAGATAAGTATACTGATGGTTGAGAACCTCTAAGGTTACAATTACATAAGTTCCACTGAAGGAAAGTAGAATATATATTTACTGATGTAAACATTTGTATTTTTCTGTTTTCCCCTACATCTCCCCTCACCCTTTTTGTTAATGCATATCTGCCATTATTTGCAGAGGATGCTTTTTTGCTTCAAGCTAGAGTTGAATAAATCTTTTCAAACTTGCTTAAACTGGATGCTGCCTTCACACTCTCCAGTGAATATATCTGCATATGTATTTCCACAGCTATAAATTATCTCACCCATCATTTATTTGTACTTTTCAGTAAAATCAATTGCGGGAGAACTCCCTGCAATGTCTGTAATGCTTTATACTTATACATTCCCTATTGCAGTAGTAAGGTAGAGGTGGAAAAGGGTGGCCAAGATTTTAATTTTTTTAGCATTGGTGAAACTGAGAAAATGCTTCCCTCTTTGTCCTTCCTATATGTATATATGTGTGTGTTTTGCTGGAAAGTGATTTCCTAGGAAGAAACTGGTCATTGGTGTATATAAGCTGTAGAAAATAATTCTGGCAGGGATATTTACATGTAATGAAGACATGTAGGAAAATTTAATTATTGATGGCTATACAGAAACATAGGCAATAATTACTATCCACTTTAAATGACCTTGGTATTAGCTTTATAAAAAGCCCAGTGTTTTTCACATATACACTATATGCTGCCAGATAAAGAAGTGGCAGATAAAATTCTAATTCTCAAAAGAAAGGCATGAACTTTTAAACTGACAGCGATTATTTCCAAATAAATTTCTCACTGCATTCCTGCTTAATGTGTGTAAACAGAAGGCAAGATCGGTCTAGGGAGTAGGTAAACTTGAATTAAGTTGTGCTGGTAATGCAGTGTAGCCTGTCTTGTCAAGTATAAGTGGTTTTCTTGGTGTGTAATGTTGCAGGGCTAATGGAGGCATCATCTAACTTTATAAATAATGTAGGCTGTGTATAATGTGGACTCTCTAGAGACTGCAGAGAGCATCATTACTAGCCTTTCCAACCTGCTGTAGATCTCAAATTGACTTACAGCAGTAAAATGCAAAATGATACATCAGGATGACGTGAGGGGTTCAGTTTGGGAATGTGTTAGTTCAGTTATCATAAATATATTAAGACATCAAATATTGTTACATTATCATTTATTTATAGGCAATATAGAGGTGAAGATTTTTTTAAAAATACAAAGAATATTGTTTCTTCTATAGTTTTCTCTTTTGTTCCCCAAAACAGCAGGTAGTAAGTTATTAAACAGTAAACAAGAGAAAACCATTGCGTATGACTAAATGCATTTCTGAAACTTTCCAGTGGATTACCACATGTTCAATAGCTTTGTAATGCTAAAAATAGAACATTGGAGAACTAGGTTTAAATCCTTGGTCATCTATTCTATAGGATTTAAGTTTAGCTTTTGGCAAGTCTCTAGCCACTGAGTTTGAACTGTATATTTGAAGACTTGCTGTAGGGCAGGGGTGTCAAACTGCCGGCCCACTGGCCAGGCGTGTCATAACGAAACTGCACCCACCTCATTGCCAGCAATGGAGCAAAAGTTCCGATACGTTGTGCGACGTCACATGACGTTGCAAGTTTGACATGTCTGCTGTAGGGGGATTAAAGTGTAACAAATCTGCTAATGAAAGCAGCTTTGTCCTTAAATCAGATTGTGACTGCAACAAACTTCCTGGCAATTATGAAATTGTAAATCCCGCTCTAATCAAATAACACACATGCAAAACTAAACTCTGTGTTACTCTTTTGTATGTGCAGTTCAGTTCGTGGCACTGATAGAGTCTTGTACACAACAGACAAATCAAGGATTCTGCTAACCAAGAAAGATTTACATCAACAATAATTACGTGGGCCACTGTAAATTTATTAATGAGGTTGGAAAAGAGAAAATTGAATTACCAGAAGTCCCTGGAATGTACTTTCACTTGAATTAGGAGAGTTTGTTTTTCAGTCTTGGTCATTGCAGGAAAAGATCATAGAAATCTTTCTCTAACAGATTTCTTTCTGGTAAGCACGTGACTAATCACACATCCAGATTGGTATGAGATCAAAAGGAATGAAAAGCTGTTCTGTCAGTTGCTTTAGCATATGTATAGCAGCTAAGGTTTTAGGGCAAGGCAGATGCAAGTTCAAGTGCACCCTCAATCATGGAAGCTCACTAGTGACTTTAGGTCAGTTTTCCTCTGTCTAAATCATTAATAAAACCACTGTTTCTTTAGAGTACTAGGAGTAAAGGCAAAATATGGATATGTGAATACAAAATAAAATGCATATTTACTTATTGGCTATGGAATCCAAGCTATACAATCAGCATCCTATGTGTGCAAACAGATAGGTAGTATATAACCAAACATTTTTTAATTCAGTGCTTTATAAGATACCAAAAGTATATTTCCAAGTATACATCTGGGGGCTAACATAGAGAAGCCTTGCTTCCTAGTCCATGACTCATTTTTTGTGGAAACAAAATCCTCTGAAAAAGCCCTTTCTAGGTGTCTGACAAACAGATAGAATTAAAGGAGGCCTCTAATATCTCTAGAGCTGCTCCAATTGGGGCTCTATATGATCTGCAGGTAGTCTTTGACTTACAACTCTAATGGAGCCCAGAATTTACACCATATGTCATGACAGTCATAAGTTGAGGCACCATTTGACCAACCTGACTTTATGACATTTTTTGAGTCTGTCATTAAGCAAACAACACAGTCATAATATGAACCCACTGTCCACAATGGACATTTTTTACCAGAAGCTCGAAACAAAATACTGATTTGCAGCAAAAAAAAAAACCCACTGTAAATTGCAGTCATGTGACCACAGGATGTTACAAATAGCCATAAATTCAATCTGGTTGCCAGTCATCCAAAATGCAACACGTGACAGCACTGACATTGTCTATGAACAGAGGTTAGACTATAGCTACCTGTCCAGACGGAAGTTACACTTAAAACTTTCAGCAGATTGATTTGATGGCAATCATAATGACTTGTCTTCCTTCCAGATGGTTTGCAGAAAGCCCCTTTTTCTTATCCCACAGTATTCATAATGTTTAAGAATCTGCAGCTTGAATTGTGTTTGACTCTTTATCAACCACAGCCCTAACCTAATAAAATCGTAATTGATTTATACTTGAATATATGTATAAAGTTTTAATTCTGAAGCATATTCTATTGTTTTTAAATGATGTATTTAGAAAATACGATTATTTTAATGCAAATACTTCTCCAAAGCACCTCATCAAATTGAATTTCAGGATATCACATAATACATTTTTAAAAACTACATGAATAAAATGACAAGAGGATCACCTGAGAGTTTAGGCAGTTGAAAATGCTGAGTATAGTACATGAATCAAAACTAAGGCATC